AGGTGCTTTAGACCACTGAGCCATCTCTCCAGCCCCTGAGCTGTATTTTTAATTCTTTCTTTCTACCTTCTTTCTTTGGTACAGGGTCTCAGTACACAGTTCACAGTGATCCTCCTGTCTCAGCCTCCCCAGCTCTGGGATTACAGGGGTGTGCCACCACACCCATTTCAGTGGCCTGTAGAGTGCCTGGGGTTCCAGGACCGGCACAGTATGCAGTACCAGGGATTGAATCTGTGTTCTTGTATTCGCCAGGCAGGTGCTTAGACTGCCGAGCTATCTCCCCAGCCCTGAACCACAGATCAAAACATAAAAGCTAAACAAGTTTCGGAACCAAACGGATACTCCGCAACCTGGGGCTGGTGAGGGTTTCTCAGGGCATGGAGAGCAATAACCACAAAAAAACCGCTGATAAATTCGGTTTCATCAAAATTACAACTTCCGCTCCAGCCTGGTGCATGGCTTAGTGGCTGTGCACCGGCTTTCTCAGCCTGTCCAAGGTACTGGCTCCACTCCCAGCACTACAAAAACAGAAACAAAACAGAAAACCTTTGCTTCAGTCCCAGACTGCAGGAAAACGCCTACAAAGGGCCGGGGAGACCGCTCAGTAGAATAAGCGCTTCCCTAGCAAGCACAAGGGCCTGATTTCAATCCCCGGTTCCACATTAAAAAAAAAAAAAAAAAAAGCCTGCAAAGTGGATAGGAATTCCTGGAACTAAAAATAAAATGGCAAATCATCCAATTTTTTTAAATGGGCAAAGACTTGAGTAGACATTTCACAAAGGAAGATCCATAAATAGGAGCTCAACGACCTTAGTCATCAAGGAAATGCAAATGAAACCATGTGAAATACGCCACACACCCACCAGCACGGCTGCGATTACTAAGAATGACAGCGCCCGCCCGACACGTGCGAGGACGTGAGCAGGGCCCAGAGCCCCCATGCACAGCCGCGTGAGCTGAACACACACCTGCCCTACGCCCTCGAGTCCCTGCCTACGTATTTACCCAAGGGACACGCACAGGTGGATGTACGAAAGCATGTCATAGAACAATGTTCAGAGCAGCTTTACTGCTAACAGCCCAAGCTGGAGCCAGACCAAGCGCCAATCAGTAAGAGAATGCGCAAACTGATGTTTAATTCCTATCACGGAGCAGTATGCAGCAGTAAGAAGGCACTTGTGACACACAGCACAAGTAAATCCCCTAAACACACGAGGTAAAAGAAGCCTTACGAAGAGAAGAGCCCACTGAGTAATTTCATCTACACGACATTCTAGAGTGCTTCCAACTAATTTATGCAGGAAAAAAAAAAAAAGACAAAAAAACAGCAGTGGTTGCCTGGGAAAAAGCATAAGAGATCATTTTAGGGTGCTGGTCGCATTGTCTGTCTAGAAAGAGGATTAGGTCACAGATATTTACGTTTTTCAAACTAATCAAATGGCATATTTAAGAGAATTATATTTCACAAATTTTACCTCAAAGATGAGGTGAATCCCACTTAATAATATGTACTAAAGTAAAGTAAATGATGCCTATAAGTTATTTTGAAATAAATCAAAAAATAAGAATGCTTAATGAGTAGATAAATAGGTAAGGGGAGATTTCTAATAAGGCAAATACAGCAGAATGCTTGTTGGAGAACCCAGGCACAGGGCATTCTCTCAACACCTGTTTATATATCGGGAACTTCTCAGATTAAAGTGCTAGGGGGGTGGGACACGATGACCCTGGTCTGCAATCCCAGTACTCGGGAGGCTGAGGCAGAGTGACAGCGCACACACGTAACATGACAAGGCCCTGGCTGTGAGCACCGCAGCCCAGTGAAAAAAGAAGTGATTTAAATACTGGGCTAGGGGCTGGAGAGATGGCTCAGTGGTCTAAAGCACCTACTTGGAACAAGCTTGGCAAAGCACAGGGACCGCGGTTCAATCCCCCCAGCACCACAT